CTCCATGACTTGTCTGCATTGTCGTCTCTTAAATACCACGCCTGCCAGTGTTTTCAGTAGTGGCGGTATGTAGAAGTCTTTCACACAATTTACCACGAAAACCCTAGTTGCAAAAACCCACAGTTGTAAGTGAACCCGTCAGCTAAACCTTAAACACCCTGAACATGCTAAATCCTAAGATCCGAAAACCCTAAAACCAAACCCTAAACCCTAAACACCTAAAACCAAAAAAATCCTTCAAGCTCTAGATAGGCAGATCACCACCTTTTCTGCCAGAGTGTGGCTTGCACTGATGACGCCACACGCCTGCAGTTCACTTGTGGCTTAGGGTTTAGGGTTTAGGAGGCTTGAGGGATTCAGGTTGCTTTTGGGGATCATCATTGGGGTTTAGGGTTTCAGGGTTTAGGGTGTAGGGTTGATACGAAAGATCCTGCATGACTGTACGTCACTGGTACATTACTATTTTAAAGGTATGAGGTGCTTAGGATCATGAAGGACTTGTGCATATCCGTTGTAGGGACCTATTCTAGCTTGGTGCTGTTGCTTGGAGGCCTGCAGAATAGGGTTGATAGGACTAGATCAGATTGAGGGTGCAATTTGTCGGTCCTTGATGCTAGGGGCTCATTTAGGCTGACGGTGTGTTCAGGCGCTCCTTATGATAGGGACGGTGCCGGCTTGGAAAGTGTTTCTAGATTTGAACGAGTATATTGAGATGCATACCGTCCATTTCTTTGGGCGTTGGCAGCAAGCAGGGGCAATGTATTGTTAGGGCAGGGGAGGGTCTAGGGTGTGAGCTGCCAGTCTCCAAACATGTCATTGTCACGTTAGTTCTTCTACGTTCCACGACCAACGCCGCCACCGGCAGCACTGGAACCGGCACCAGCGCCACCACTTCTCATTCTCCAATACTACTGTGCCACCGCGAAACTTAAACCCCCCACATGTACAAGCCCCTAAGCGTCCAAGGACCCAACTCATAAGGTTTTAGCGCCCATACTACTAATATTATGGCATTTGGGCCCTAAAGCCCTATTATTTGGGTTCCTTGGACCCGTAGGGAGCACTTAGCAAGGATAACGTTCTGTTGGCTACGGAGCCAGCTACGACCTCGTTGGACTTAGCGCCTTGGTGTCGAATGGGAGGTCTTTGGACGCCAGAGTGCCCTGAGGTTGTAGGGTTTAGGGTTTCGGGCTTAGGGTTTGGGGTTTAGGGTTTGGGGTGTAGGGTTAAGGATTTCAGGGCTTGGGGTTTAGCAGCTTATGATCTAGCACCGAGAGTCATCTAGGCATATGTCATATGACCCATAGTCTAAACTCCTAGTATCCCCCTTAATAACCCCTATAATAGTCCCATATATAATTCCCTATATAACTCCCTTTAAGGAGTTGAGACTATGGCTCATATGACCTGAAAGGTACAACCCTGGAACCTTTTAGAGGAAGAGCTGGAGGAATGAAGATGCCTCCGCCCTGAGCCAGTATGAGCTATGGTCAATATGGGGGGTTTCCCAAAATTAGGGGTACCTTTTTTGGGGTTCCCCATAATAAGGATTAAAGTATATTAGGGTCTATATTGGGTCTCCCTTATTTTGGGCAAACAACCATATGAGCTATAGTGAAGAGCCTCAGAGGGGGTTATATAGGGGATTGCATAGGGGAGTATTATCGGGGTTCTAAAGGGGGATAGGCTATAACACATATAAGGGTTACCAAGGGACCATTAAAGTTGACGTAGGGCTCGCTTGGGTAGTTTCGCCTTAATATGGAACGCATGTCCAGTTTCTAGACGGGAAATTTTGGCTGAAGCCCATATTGGTGGTTGTCAAACTTATGGTCCCTTTTGGATCCCTATAATAAAACGGCACCTCATATTTAGGTACCCAGAAAAGGACCATAATTTTGACAACCACCCATATATGAAGCAAAATGTAAGAACAGGCGAGGGCAATGAAGAGATCCAGGAATACCATGAAGCAGCATTCCCCGGAGCTTCAAGTCTGTACATGATATCTACATCGTGTCTCAACGTCTGAGAATCTTAATGTTGGCCCTAAACAGTAGCCAAGACTATGGTCTTAGAATCCTTGTATGATTAATTATTGTGCAGGGTACCTGAAAAAGACGTCAACATGAATTTGGCAATGGTTGAGGCTTCTACATTACCCACATTAAGCCCTAAGCCCTGAACTGCGTTTGGGCCATTCGGGGCCCTAGCCCTAAACCCCTAGACCCTAAACCCTAAGTAGTAGTTTCCAACTTATTTTCGGTTATCCCTAGATGACCCCAATACAACCCCCATGCAACCCTAAACCCCCAGACCCTAGGGATTGAGGAGTGAAAGGATCCGCAATAGCCAAACGGGCTCAGCTCTGAAAAAGTGTTGAGCCGCATTAGGGCTTAGGTATGCGCTTGAAGGATCAAAAAGTAGGTTAATAACGAGGAGAACTATAAGGGTTATAAGCTTACTTGCCAAGTTCCCCCCACCCTCACAAGTAGGGTTTAGGGTTACACGGCTTAGGGTTCAGAGGCCCCTAAATTAACTGCTTGAAACCCTACTTGGGGACTTAGCTGGGCTTATAACCCCTTAGCTGGCCTTGTGTAGGTTACCCCTCATATAAATAGTGTTATTACAAGCCAAGTTACAAGTTGTTTCTAGGTCCCGTGAACCTTCAAGTAAACCCTGCACTCTCGCACCGATGGGGTCGTATGAAGTGTTGGATCAAGCTGCATCCAGGGATTTAGACCTCCGAAGTTTCTGGCCCAACCGAAATCCATGTAGGTTCAGGGTCCAGCACTTTGCAAAGTTCAGGGTTAACCCTAAGGGTCCAAGGACCCAAATGATAAGGTTTTAGGGCCCAAATACTATAATGTACATAGTATTTGGGCACTAAAACCCTTTTATTTAGGTCCTTGGACCTTAAACTCTAAACCTTAATCCCTAAGCCCTAAACCCTAAACCCTATTATTTGGGTCCTTGGACCCTTAAAGTTAAGATTTTAGGGCCTGGGGTTCCGAGCTTAGGGCTCGGGCCATGTGGGTTAAGGTTTAGGGGTTTAGGGTTCAGGGCTTAGGGTTTAGGCATGGGGGGGGGGGTAGCGGGAAAGGAGCCCCGTGTTTAAGAATTGCACATGTGATGCAGAAGTCTGCATGACTAGCAATATGATCCCCCGAGAAGCCTTACATCACAAGAAGATTTGACATATAAATTACGCCCCTAAACCCTGAACCTACCGCATGAGCTTTGGATCCTGAGCGCCATTTGATGAGTTCCCTAAACCCTGAACCCTAAATGCTGGCTTGGTGTTAGGGAACTTAAATTAAGTTACAATGATACGGAAAACCTCATTATTTACTATATACCCATATTCTGGTAGCCTAATAGCCTAACCCTAAACCCCTAAACCTCTGAACTTTAAACCCTAAACTTCTAAACCCTAAACCCCAAACTGTAGGTAACTTTATATTGAGTTCTTTGCTTAGCAGCAACCCAGAAAAGGAGTTCCCGGACGATGCCCTGGGAATCCTTCCTGACAGCTCAGACGTTTTGTGCCTTCGGCTCAATTAGGGCAGGGTGGGTCGCAGAAACAGGTGTACTTTTTGTGTTGGGGGGGTGCCTTTAGTAAAGATTATACAAGTTTGGGGTCTATATTGGGGCCCCCCCAATTTTGGGAAAGGGCCATTCTTCGCTTCGCTTGGGACTGGAAACCCCTGCAAAGTTGAGGGTGCTCGAGACCATGCTTGGAGGGTCAGAGGGACTTAGTAAGTAGGGTAATACACCTCATAACCATATAATAACCCTAGATATCCCCATTATGAACCTACTTATTAAGTCCCCCTGACCCTTCAAGTAGTTCTTTTAAGGGCCAGAGGGAACATTGCTTCTGGCCTCATGTTTTGCTTTCACTCGCTGGTGTGGCTCGCAAGGATACAGCTGTTAAGTGCTTATGAAGCGCGAAAGAGTGTCTAGTATCTACATACACACACGCAGCATATATATATATATGTATTTATATTATACACAATCAAATACATTGGGACATTAGGAGCATTTCTGTCCAGGGGATTGGGGGATTTGACGTTTAGGGTGAGGTGGCATTGCAAGCTCAACCCTAAACCCAGGCGCAAGAGACTAAGGTGGTCCTTGGGGGTTTAGGGTTCAGGGTTTAGGGTTTAGGGACTAGGGTTAGGGTTGTAGATATTAGGGATTAAGAACGGCAGGCTTATGCTTCAATATCCCTATATGCACTGCCCTACTATAGTCCTTATCATGGGAAACATTGAAGCCCACAATTGGTAATCTGAATTATTATTCATCCTTTTACTACCCTATAGCGGTATATCCCTAGGTCGCCCAATATAACCCTCCTGTTGCCCTCAAGATTTGGAAGCCGGTCACTATTGTGGTCCCATTTTGGGTCCCCATTTTGGTACAGGGCGGAAAATCCACGACACCCCCAAAACTGACCATACTATTGACAACCTGCCATACACTGCCCCTATACCTCTACATCAGAAGCCCTGCTAACCCAAAGCCCTATAAACCCTTAAGACAAATTTTTGTAATTGCTCGGAGAGCCAATTCTCATAGCGCAAATTCCCCTTACTTTAAGACGTTTACAGTGTTAAAACCAAACTGACCCCAAAACCCTGAAAAATTGCGATAAACCCAAATCAAAACACCCTAAACCCCCAGGCCCCAAACCCTAACCCCCCCCCTCCAAAAAAAAACTTAAATCCAGAACCAACCAACCCCCCAAACCTCAAAGCCTAAAGCTTTGCTTCAGGCATGAGCTTGAAGTTACCGTTGCCAGAAACCTGGCCGTCGACCGAGAAGCCGGAACCTGTCCCCTGGCCTTGTCTAGAGGTTCCTCAAAATTATGGGTACCTTTTTGGGGGTCCCTATAATAAGGACTATAGTATTTGGGGGTCTAGATTGGGGTCTCCCTATTTAGAGAAACTACCATCTGAGGGTTGAAAGATGAAGGTTTAGGGTTTAGGGTGTTAGGCTTTGGGGTTTTAGGGTTTTAGGGTTGAGGATTTAGGGTTTTGGGGCTGCGGATTTAGGGTTGCGGGTTTTTATGGTTTAGGGTCTAGGCATGAGGGTTTAGGGCTTCAGGTTTAGGGCTTGGGGTTATATGGGAGTTGATACAGCGGTCCTTTGAAGAAATTATGCAGGAAGTGTAGGTCTAAAGGGACAAATCTAGGGGAAATTATTCCCATAAAGAAAGGCCACTTGGGGAACATCAGTTTTGATCAACTCCATACGTGGGTGCGAAGGGAAATCATGCTGGTTCAGATGGGCTTGTAAGGTTTTAGGCTTTTAGGATTCGAGGGTTCTAGTATTTGGGGCGTCAAGAGGCTTATAAACCCTTGCGATACTTTTGGGGGTTCACAATGACTGGACTCAAATGGAACAGGAATGGAAACTTAAATGTAACTGGAATTGTATACTGGTTCATAGGCATGAGGGACATAGTATAGAGGTGTATATGGATATCCCTAAGCCCTAATCCCTAAACCCTAGGATATCATGAGGGTTGGGCAGGGCTTGTAAGGTTATGAGCTTCTGAGAGGCTTGAAGATTCTAAGGGTTCGGCGTGTAGGGTGTTTAAGGGTTTAGGGTTTTTAGGGGTTTGGGGGTTTAGGGTTTAGGTAGGGTCTATGGTTGGGAGTGTGTTGATGTCAAATTATGGTGGTCATAGGGATAGTATAAAGGACATTTGGGCATGATATGTGATTTTGTGATTTTGAGAGTTAGTAGAGCTTTTGGATTTGTCAGGTTGGGCGGTTTAGGGTTGGCCTCATATTCTTTTGTTTGCTTAGCGCGATTTTTTTTATTTCCTGCAGATTTTGCTGCTAGCTCACATTGGCCCGTCAGCGGTGGCTATCAATGTTTTTGGATAATAAAAACGATGAACCCGTTGAAAAAAGAAACTCACTCTTTGTAAATCGTACAGTTGCGCGGAGACAATGAAGTCCCATGGGTAGTGCCAGCTCCAACCAG